TCCTACGAAACCAGTGTTCTCGTTTCAAAAAGTTCATGTTAGATTATGCTAACTAGTCTGAGTTATCAGGATGTTTCAATCAACAATGCTCAGATATCTACACCGCTACATCTATTATCGGGAAACACATTAACTTAATGGAGGAGCAATACAGCTACAACACGAATTTCAAATAAAACTTGACCACTTTTCACCCAAGATTTTTTTATTCACAATTCAGATACGAAACTTTCAATGTTGTCGTATTTTCTTTGAATAGAGTTTTACATAATTCTGTTTGTTTCAGGACTTAAGTGTCAAAGTGAAATTTTACTATAGAATTGACAAAACCACATTATTAGTAAGAGCTCAGTTCAACGCTAGTGCTTGTTTGCAGATTTGAGGTAAGGGATCTGTTCTATAAACTTGAATTGGGGGGTATAAAGTAAGTAGGTAGTTGACAAGTAATTACAATAAATAGTTGAGGAGATTTTCCTTGTGTGTCGAGTTTCAAATTTCCTGGGCTGTACTTGTTGGTAAGAGGCTGCACGGCGGTGATTTTCCAAAAAGCGAGAGTTTTTGTAGAAACAGTGAAAACAAAACCGTAGCGATCAGAAAGAGTACCGAACACGGTCGAGAGCCATATACTACTAAATATTTTATCGATAGGCACGTTTACTGTGCCGTATACCAAAAAATAATTGAATACAATGATATAAATGATATATTTTTTCGAAGACAAAACTCAAGCACTACAGAAAAATCCTTAAGGCGCTCTAAGAGCGGTGCCTGTGAGAAAGTAGCGATTCACATTGAATTTGAATCGCTGGAGATTGAATCCATTTGGAAAAACGTTTTCAGGAAGTTCATTCCACATAAACGTAGTTCTCTGATTGAATGAACCCTTAAACAGTGAAATCCGAGGTGTACCTCGAGTTGAACCTCAAAACGATGAGCAGTCACAGTCCGTCGCTTATTTCTGATAAGTACCACTCTTAGTGGAATCAAATGTGCCAAGTCACTTGAACACTTCCCGTGAAAGTATCTATAGAAGAGAGACAAATCTCCAACCTTTCTTCGATGTTCCAGACTATCATGGTTACAAATGATGTTCGCGTCTCCAATCAGGCGAATGACTCTTTTCTGGATGGAAGCCAGTATGCTAAGGGGCAGAGCTCCATACATGAGAATAATACTCCATCTGTACGTCTGTCCATGGTCCGATCTGAGCTTCAAAAATAATGTAAGTTGCTGGTTGGAAACAGTGTTCCAAGCTTTTGAGAAGCCAAGACATATTGGTGTCCATTTAACCCCCAACAAACTTATCGAAGCAGAAAGCGGAAATATAATAATATAATAAAATTATAGAAAACTTCAAATGAACGCGTGGCGTTACCATTATCATCCATGGCATTCACGATAGTATATTACAAATCGCGTTCATCAATTGGAAGTTTTGGTGTCGCCAACAGATCTTATGAAAAATCATTAGTTCCAATGTCAGAAGATGATTTCGTTTTCAGAGAATGTAGGGAATGAAGTTCCTAGATTTTCTCTTGGAAAAAAACCTTCTGATAAGAATTGTGAAGTACTTATTCAAAATTTCAAGTAAACTTTCAAAGTAGAATATCTCAAAACTTTTTTTTTCTTATGATGATAAATTTATCTATTTCTATTTTTTACTCATTAGTTTTATAAAAATTTTGAATATTACAAAAACTCAAAACTCATTTTCCATTTCAGTTAACAATTTTGAAATCAGATATACAATGATTTTTAGTTACAAATGAGTATTCTATCTAATTTTTGGTGTGTATGTGAAATCAGGAACTGTTTTTTGTTCAATCCTCAATCATTGAATGCCAATTATTATAAGAGGAGAAATAACTTCACGAATCTTTCATATATTCATGAAGGATATACCTTTCATTGAAACGAACTTCATTCGAAATTAATTCTTTCACAATAACCTAAAAATCCCCACATACTAATTTTGATTGGAATCGGACTATAATTACAAATTTCGTCCGCCATCTTGTTGCCACCATGTTGTGTTTTGTATTTTCCGATTCATCAATTTTGAATCAAATCGGACCACAATTGCAAATCTTTCACGCCATTGTGAAGCCGCCATTTTGTTTTTTCCCTTAGAAACATTCTTTAATGCATTGTAATTGAATTTATGTCAAATAATTTGGAATACGGAACAGGTTTTTTCCGCAAGAGGTATCCTGAATAGAAAGTCAGGTGGCGAAAATTGACATGGCCGAATTCCTTAAGGAATTACCTTTTCAATGATGTGTCACAATTACTACTTTCCCTATTGACATTGTTTGGGTGATAGTGACCGAGGGAAGGGGGGAGAGGTATGACAGTTGAAGTTATGATAGAAATATATCTCCCGTGGATCACAAATCGACGTATGTTTGCATTTTTTTCAGAAAGATATGTTTTGAAGATATTCGACCTATTTCGTTTTTGTTGCCCCACCTTGTATGTATATTTAGTATCAGCATTGTACCTGTGCAGAGCCAAGGCGGGTCGCTAGTGTTAAATATAAATCAGGTTGAGAGTCAAAATTCATCTTCTGAATACGCCAACTTGGTTGGTAGGTACTGCAGTTCTGGTGTTTGGAAGCAGTGCTTGTTCAGGTTAAATGTTCATTTCTTTCATCGTGAGCCAGCAAATTGGTCAAAATTGTAATAACTTTCAATCATATGGCATATGAAAGGTATGGTTTAACGGGACTTTCACTTCCTTCGATGATCATTTATGAAATATAAATATTTTCAATGATGATATCACTCTTATCATTACTTTAAGCTTTGAACATGCCATTACTAATATTAGATATCTGAAAAGTATGACATTATTAACATCAATGTGCCAAATTTGTGAAATGTTTTCATCATTATTCAATTTCAAATTGTGAAACTCAGATTAATTGTAAGTGTTGTTCAAAAATACAAATGCACGAAGCCACCAGCAGGAGCCAACCGCACATTTGTGGTTTCAGTTGATAGATCTTGTGTTTACAAAAAAACTATCAAAATCACCACGGAGGCAGCTATAGCTACCTGCGTGACATCAGGGTCCAGTCCGAGTGCTATGTCCGATATTAACTTCTGTTTCCATATCAAGACACTCAATAACTTTCATATTTGTAAAATTTTCTGGACCCCTATCTATTTAAAAAACCCACATCAAAATCCGTTGCGTAGTTTTGAAGATCTAAGCATACATAGGGACATACAGTTCATTCTCACTTTTGGACACATCAATGATTTCGGGTAGAAATTGACAGAAAATTTTCTCGTAAAGTTCTCGCTTATTTCCAACAGAATGATTCATATAAGACCAAAAAATGAGATGTTTCCAAGCAGCCCATTGTTCACCTAGACGGATTGCAACAAACATCAAGTGTTCCATGGAGCACAAAAAGTCAGGATTTTTCTCAATATCTAAATGTTTCAATTGCATCAGTTTGTTATTTAACAGAAACAGGCTAGAAATCCGAAATCATTTATAATCATACTTTAACACTATCAAAAGTGATAGTTTAATTTTCCAGTTGATGAGCATTTTAGCTATTTTATTTTTATGCAAAAATATATTTACCAGATAGTTATAGAATAGATATATTTCTATATTCAATCACTTTCCAAAGAATTTTCTTTAATTTTTCTGCGTATTGTGTATGTGAAAATCTACTTCTACGAATATGTTTGTTTATTTTTTCACTCTTTACATTTGAGAGAAATATACAGAGAATGAGTTGAAGACAGTTATGTGATGAAATTGGCCTATACCGCAACACGTATTTCGCTCAAGTAAGCTCTTGTATAGCGAAACACGTGTTGCGGTTTTGTAAACTGTCCAGTGAAAATCTCACATTAAAGTGTAACTTGAAACTTAGTTTCATCTATATCTATATAGATATAGATGATCTGAGTCATATTTAAGTTCGATCCCATCCCCCCTCCCACGCATCAACACGATCCATCAGGGTAACAAAATCAGCACTGAAGCAGTTGAGAAATTGATAAAGGAGTAACAGTGTTGTCAAGTAATTTCTTTAAACGTTCGTACAAAGTAGTGTAACTACGTGTGTTTTTTTAAATCTTCGAAAAGAACTGAAATATGATTCAGATCAATTTTTCTTACCAGGTTAGTCAGTGAATCTTAGAATTATCACCACAAATTAGGTCATTCATCAAGACACATGTATTTCTCAAAATTTCGGTTCTGAAAACCATTAAAATTGATTTTCTAAAAAATTTCTTTCGATGAAAATTCCAATATTTTATACATATCACAAAGTAGAATGAATATCCATATCGAATAAAAATGTAGCATATCGTACAGAAAAAACCAACATTCACTCATCAGTGTCACTCACATTGAATGTTTAAATTAGTGTCTATCTGTTCTTGAATACATTTACATCTACCTGCCTAGAGTTTTAGATAAAAGAAACTGATATACTATGATATTGACTACTGAATTTGGTGAAAAAAATTAGTTCTGTATATTGAACGTACATGCAACAAACAAAATTCCGCAATTTGGATTTTTGCCCATATCTCAAATACAGCCATTGATAGTCAAGGTTTACCCCAAATGGACAACTTTTATGTAAATCAACAACATTGTAAGTCTCACTATTTTCGAGATAGCAATAGTAAGATCAACTGAAAACGGTCTGTATAGAAATATTGTGAATCTAACTTTGTATTTTTTATTAAGGAATGAACAATATTATTTTCATTTTTCTCACAATAGTCGGAACACATGCACCTCAAGAGTGTTCATATGCTGTTGATCAACACACATATCAAGATATAACCTCGCAAGTCTGCAATTAATAAGCGCGTGAACACGGAAACATAAAAGTGCACTCAAAAAAAGTCATATAATGACTATCGATCGTACTAGCGACAACTGTTGATGCGACTCGTCAACCAACAAGTTGCCTCGAATTGGGAGAAATCCCTTGAAAAATAAGCTATTCCAAGACTCACCTCTCTTCGAGCTAATGTGTCCATAGAGCCTGCTGAGATCCAGGGCCATCACAGCTTGAGGGATTGCTGCACAGACTGCTGCAGCCACCATAACCAGCAAGAGCGGTTGAGGCGACACCGCCACCCTAACCATATTGTGCCCCAGCAATATCGACACTAACGGGACGGAGGCAGCTCGCAATAGAAAGCCGCCCTTCTCCTGCTATTACTTTATACCTCCCGATCGCGACCGACTTGTTGGGGTTGAAGGCAGTGGCGGATTGCTGGATACGTGGGTTGCGGGTTTCACTGCATGACTGCGACTCGGAATTACTATTTAATTCTCCAATTCCAACTAACGAAATGAATACGGGCGGGGTTGACATTCTCCTGAATAGAACTGAAGTAGATTGTTTCTAATAATTTGAACCCATTCGATTTGTATATTCATTAGGTGATATCAGCAAATGAGGTGATAATTTTGTATCATATTAGACTATGGAAGTCGAAACTAATGAAATTCACCATGAAACATTGTCAACCACCTTCAAACAAATGGGAATAACATACTTTCTTTCAAATGAATTCTATCAAATGTCATTATTGTTTGTTACTAGCTGGCTTCGCTCTGGGAGTCGATATGAAATTGTGTTAACTGAAATCAAAATATGAACTTTGAATTACAAGAGATTGACAGGATCTTGCTTTATATACCCTCAAAAATAGACTTCTCTACCCATAGAAAAATTCTTCGATTGCCCCAAATGTTCTAGAATATTTCACAGCATTCAAGACTGTTTTGGAATGTTTCACAATGATCTGGGATGCTTCGAGATGTTCCTGATCATTCTAGGCTATTTCCGAACATTTCAGAATGTTCCGGTTTATCCTGGAATGTTTTGGACTACTCTTCAGTGTTCTGAACTATTCTAGAAATTTCTAAAATGTGAAACTTCCAGCCTCTATATCTTCCGCCTTTCACCCCAGCCTCTTTATCTTCCAGCCTTTTACTCCAGCCTCTATATCATCCAGCCTTTTACTCTTCAGGTAGAAATATGAAGTTCCTTTTTGGATAGGGGATAAAGAGCTACCAAATCATATAACTTTTTCCATTGTGTCACAATGATCTGGGATATTCCGGGATTTTCTCGAACGTTCCATAGTGTTTCCGAACATTCCCATACATTCCTGATTATGCCGGAGTGTTCTTGAATGTTGTGGAATTCTTTCGAATACCCTCAAATATTCTCAACTGATCTAGAATTTTCTAGCCCTTTTATCTCCAGAAGCACAACGAAGATTGGCGCAGGTGCATAGTCGAGTACAATGAGAATGAGAACTCTGTTTTCTGTTCAAGCTTTCGAGACTTTATTGGCCCTTCTTCAAAAACTCAATAGAACGATGATATATGATATAATAACAATTGAAGAGTAGTAGTTACGGAAAGTGAGGTTATGAATATAGATCCAGTATGGAAATCAATGTTTTTTTTAATACTTTATAAAATCTGATAGAACTAAAC